AATGTAATTAAATTGTTCTTGCAATTGTTTAACAAAGCTTGAACAACTTGGGTCCTGGGGCCAAATCTGAGCCTTTTGGGGTTCTAGCTTTCAGGGCACACCCTCTTCCTATGATACCATCATTTGATGTCTGTGAAGATTCTCTGTCATCCAGATGTCTTCCACAGTCACACCCAGTCCTTTGTCCATCTAAGGAACCTATGCAGACCAGGGGAAAGTGAAACCAACCTGGAGGATTTATCAGGGATCTCCTACCAACTGTCCTCAGACTGAAGAAACTACTTGGATGAGTAGTGAAATGTTTCTACCTAACAAGAAAGAAGTCCAGTTGCCATGACTCAACTTCCAGACATCATTTGATGGTTTCCCAGATTTTGTACAAGTTTTTAGTTTTCTAAAATTTTGAACAGTCTTTAGGTATAGTTATTTGTAGTAAGAATTTTAACCTCTAAACTTGTGGTCTTGGTTCCATCGTTGCCTTTGGCTATGCAAATTGCTGAACGCAATGCGCAGGAACATCTCTGAAATGGAATTCAGGCCTTGAGTTGAGAAATGTTGTTCACCATTTAAATGAGTGGTTAGAATCTTTGAAAGAAGATGACTTGATGCAGTTCTGTGGCTGAAATCGTTGCTTTATATAGTAAAATGCAAATGGAGTAGGCCCATTGAATCAGTTGAACTTACGGAAAAATCGCCACTGATTCGGTGGGTCTGTTCTAGTTGCTACTTAACTGCACTAAGCAAAAGGATTTCAGTCAAAGCATATATTTAAGAATTAGAGCGAAATTCTCCTCTAGAAAATATTTATTTGGAACCTCTGTTCTCAGCCTAACCTGATTTGTAAGATAATCCTTTGTCACTGGTCAGCAGCATGCAGTCCTTTGGTTGTTGCTGAACAGCAAATTCTTTTAGTTTGTATTGGAGACAATGCTAAATGTTGTTGGTAATTGTAAATCTTACCTAATAGTCATAATTCTTGCGATCCTCACCTTGCTGTCATCAAAAGAAAGAATAATGCTGGAATAGGCCTGCACAGTTTCTGATGCGCCAAGGTGAATGGAAATCACCAGACTATGGCTGTCGCTTTCTGTTCCACACACACCCTGCATCCACTCTTGTTCTTGTATCGTTCCAGCTAAAAAACAAAAAAACAAAGAGTTTACAAATCCTTTGTGCTAAAATTACACCGCAGCATCAGTCTAGTTCTCAGTGTTTTATATAAAAATTGGGTTTTGGTGCTGATTTTGTTTACCATTTTTATTATGGTATTTGTTTGATTCTTTTAAATGTTTCTGTACTTCTGGATGTTATCTTTTAAATATTGTCTTTTAATGATGTAAACCTCTGTGGGTTCCTCTCAAGGAGAAAGGTGGGATAAAAATATTTTAAAATACATAAATAAATAGAACTGTTGCAACAGGCTGATAAAAACTCAAATATGCTCCAAAAAGTTCCCCACCCAAAATCTCTAAAAGGAAATTAAAACTAGAAACTAGAAAGTGTTATTTGTCATACTCCTCCCCCAAAGTGCTATAATCCCCATTATTATTGAAACAGAACTTGGTTAAACCATTATTTAGAACAACACACAAAAACCCAAACAACTCTGTGTCAGGGGCAACTGTGTTATCTGTAATGCGTTACTTCCAAAGTCTGGTTTTGATAGGGGAAAGGTCAAAACAGATCAACAATGAGGAAATCAAGATCAAACAGCCTTATTTCCCTCCATTATCCTATACATAAAGCATGATGTCTACTTTTCTGGCTGAGACAGTATGATAATTGCACTTTGTAACGGTCCACTCCATCACCCGCTCCATATGTGTTTCTTATCCCCCTAGCCTAACATAACAGCTGGGCTCCAAATTGGCACCAGAGCTGCTAATCTATTACAGCTACGTATACCAAAGGACATCTGGAGATACCCAGGAGATCCATCACTATCTACCCCAAGGCAGCTGCTCTCATATCCAGCCTCGGCCTGGCTTCAGGATATCTTTGATCTACAATTCCCCCCCCCCTCGTATTTAATTTATCTGATCTGATGGGCTTTGCTTTCATGCTATAACTTTCCCATTTAATAGTTAATTCCCACTCTCTCTTCTTCCATTTCTATAAATTGCAGCCAGTCTGAGCCAATCTCTTGGGAGTATTCCTTGATGTGCAGAGGGAACCGTATTAACATTTTAACCTCAAAATGGTGATGAGAAAGTCATCTGTTTGGTAACTGATGGGGATTTCATGCATGAGTTTGCTATTTTTTTTTCTAGCAGACCAAAGAATTAGGCATACCATATTTTTCCGTGTATAAAACAACACTTTTTCCTTAAATAATTTGAGAAAAAATTGAGGGTCATTTTATACATTGAAGGCAGCTCTTCACCGCTGCCTTTTGTGACGGCACGCGGCTTAGCAAAAAGGAAGAGTTGTTGCTCTCTTCCTTTATGCTAATCTCCTTGCCTTCTCAAAAGGCAAGGGTGCACGCGCAGCGCTTAGTAAAAAGGGAGTCATTGCTCTCTACTTTTTTGCTAAGCTCCATGCCTTCCCAAAAGGCAAGGGCGCACACACGGGGCTTAGAAAAAGGAAGGGGAGTCATTGCTCTCTTCCTTCTTGCTAAGCTCTGTGCCTTCTCAAAAGGCAAGGAAGAGCGGCAGTCAATTTGACAGCCGCTTGCCTTGCCTTTTGCCAAGGCACGGTGCTTAGCAAAAAGGGAACTCTTTGATCCCTGCTTTTTCTAATTTGGGGTTAGAAAAGGGGGGGTCATCTTATACATTAGGTCATCCTATAAATGGGAAAATGCGGTAAATTAATATGAGAAAGGCCAGCATTTTATTCGTAGTTTCCACTAGAGTAGATTCACTGACTCAGGGGAACAGCTCTAGGTAGGAATAGCAGTAAGTCTCTGTGTTTAGTGTTGTACTTCATGTTAGAGACAGATTTCTCTAGGCCAGTGATGGTGAACCTTTTTGAGTCCGAGTGCACAAACTGCAACACCAAATCAACTTATTGAGCGGCAGTCAATTTGACAGCCGCTTGCCTTGCCTTTTGCCAAGGCACGGTGCTTAGCAAAAAGGGAACTCTTTGATCCCTGCTTTTTCTAATTTGGGGTTAGAAAAGGGGGGGTCATCTTATACATTAGGTCATCCTATAAATGGGAAAATGCGGTAAATTAATATGAGAAAGGCCAGCATTTTATTGGTAGTTTCCACTAGAGTAGATCCACTGACTCAGGGGGACAGCTCTAGGTAGGAATAGCAGTAAGTCCCTGTGTTTAGTGTTGTACTTTATGTTGGTGACTTATGGCTCATGTGCCCACAGAGGTGACAAAGAAATACTTATTGTTCCTCCAATCCTCCATTGGATTAGACTGCCAATGGTCACCATTGCACCCCGTGCTGGACCACTGCACCAGCAGAGGGGAGTGCCAAAATCCGGGATCGGAGGATGGGTAAGTACAGTATTTCTCAATGGTGACTTATGGCTTATGTGCCTACAGAGAGGGCTCTGTGTGCCAGCTGTGGCACACGTGTCATAGGTTCGCCATCACTGCTCTAGGCAATGGTAGCGAACCTTTTTGGGCTCGCGTGCCCAAATTGGGGGGGAGACGGGACGGCAGCAGAACTGGAAGTGGCGGTGGAAGGGGGAATCCCAGGCATGGAGGTGCCTTGAGACCCTACTGCAGATCCGCCACCAGCACCAGCTGCTCTGGATCCTGACCCGCCACCTGTCTGGGCACCAGCACCGCAGTTGCAGCCGCCTGCTCAGGGGGGAGTAGTGATCCGGCGATTTATGGCTTGGATGCCGGAGAAAGGGCTCCACATGCCAGCTGTGGCATGCATGCCATAGGTTTGCCATCGCTGGTCTAGGGTAAAGTTTAATGTTACATTAATGTTGCACCCAGTCCCTTGCAATGTATATGAAAGATACCTTTCTGTGTTTTGAAATGCCAGTGGGTTGACCTGTACATATGTTGACTTAAACATAGTAAGAGTTCATTTTCTCACATTGGAATTTCTAATGTTTCTTTGCATGTACATGAAAGTATGTTGAAAGAAACAGAACAGGAATTGGCTGTTCTGATTGCTCCATAAACTGTAGGTTGTTCCCGTAAGCACAGCAGAGCCCTCCAACATCCCTCTTGCCTCCTTTTGGGCTAGGAAAAACTCTGCCCCTTCATCCCGTCTGAGAAGGAAAGAGAAAGTTAAATAAAACTGGTCTACTTTGCAGGGCAGTTGCAGTAATTCCATCAATACAAAATGTAGAAACTGTTTTGTGTGCTCTAATGCACTTTATGCCTATTATAACAACAAAAAGCAAAAAGATCGTGGTACTTTAACAAGTAAATGTTTTAAGTCAGTACCATCTTTGGTGGACTGCAGTCCACCAAAGCTGATACTGAAATAAATCTGTTAAGTCTTTAAGGCACAACAATTTTTTTCCCCTTTTATATTTGCTATGCATGCTGAAACAGGCTGATGTGGCTACATATTAGTGGTGTTGTTTTCCAGTTGTCTTTCTGTGTAGCAGTTTTGATGGAAGAACTTGGGCTGCGTTATTCTTTGGAGTTGTGTGTATGTTTCATCGTCTGAATAAATTATTGATTTAAATGGATTCTGGTATATGCATGTGATGGGAGTTGTAACATACGCCTTTGATGCTTTCTATGCGCATGTATGTGTGAGTGTTGCATGGATCTGTGAACATTTTTGTGGTTTCTTCTGTTCTCCATTTCCCTTGTTAGCCGCCTAACCCATAGACATCTCTTAATAGCAAAGGTGGAGCTGTGGTGCCGGGAGGGAGAGAGAAGCTTCATAGTACAGTATTGCCTAAGAAAGGACCTTGAGGCAAAAAATAATACTTGGATTTCCTTCTGCAAATGGGCAAAAAAAAAAATCTTTCAGCAGTACTATAGCAGCTGTGGGATTTGCTTTTCCTTTCTTACTGAATTAGGTTCTGAGCGTCTCCTTGGTAATTAGGTAGCCGTTCACTGCAGCTTGGGTTGATGTTGTAACAGACAGAGAAAAAGAATGAATGAGGGAGGCAGGGTGACAGCAGCAGGACGAATGACATAAGGGTCTGGGTGTTGAGATTTTGTGGGTGTTGAGGTCCAAAACGTGTCCCACATCCTTGGGGAAAGGACTTTGCAGCAGGAAGGGAGGGCTACCCGGCTCTCCCAGGGTGTTGCAAGAGAGCTGACCAATGCAAAATAAGGTATAAGAATAAGGCCAGCAGCAGCAGTCTGGAAGGATCCAACACGGTGGGAGTGGCACACGGCGTGTGTGTATGTTGCTGAGCTACCTCCCTCTCCAGCTACATCCTGTGCGTGGTGGACTGTATCAGAGAGAGAGAGTGAGAGTGTGTGTGTGTGTGTGTGATTTTTGGATGCTGTGCAGTTGCTTTGCTGTGAAATGCTCTTTTGGTTAAAAGAAGAAGAGATGTCGCATCAGGAGCTAACCCAGCGACTGGCTACGGTCATCACTCATGTGGGTAAGGAAGGCATCTATTGTCGTTCTTTCTCTCTCCCTCTCCCGTCCTTTCCGTTCATTTAATCGATGTGCATTGAGATCTCCGGGTTGTAAGCTGTGGTGATGCCATGCTGTTTCCCCATAAGACTGGGAAGCTTTTGTGTGTCAGTGTTACACTTGGGGGTTGGAGGAGAGGGAACATGGCATTGCCTTACATCTGTAAAAGAGCACGAATGGGATGTATTTTTTCAGCTGTAAATATGGTTGGTGCTTTTAACCAAGCCTGCTAACCTTTATTTTTTTATTGTTGCACTCAATGTGTTTCAGCAGGCTTGGTGCAGTTTCTGATTGTTGTCTGTTTAAACACAGGTGGTTATTGAAGGTGACCATTCTCATTGATTTTGTACCAAATTTGCAGAATGTTTAATTGTAACTCATACTTTCAGGAAAATCATTACAGATGCTTTCTAGAAGATGAAGTCATTTGGGAGTGGAGGGATTACTAAATGCAGCACATCCATAAGCAATATCTGGGCAAATAAAAAAAAATGCAGCCGGTTGAAATATTAAAGCAAACGAAGGTGCCCTCTTCTTCCAAGTGCTGCTTCAGTGGTTCTGGCATATGTGAGCAGGGGGAGTATCCCCAGTCATGAATTCTTGATGGATTATTCTCCTACCCCCTTTACCCAGATGGGCAGCTTGAATGCACGTCTCCTTGTACAGCTCAGTGATGCTATCGACTTACAGAAAAGAGAAGCATGCCATGGTTGGCATATTTAACAAGGGATTGTAACAGATTTGGAAGATAGTCTGCTTTCCAGAAAGGGTGGTGTGTGGGTTTTTTAACCCCGAAAAAGGAACTGTATCATATAATGTGGCAGGAAAACAAAATTTTTATCAAGTGCTAGTTTCAGGATTTGGCCAAAATACACACACGCACGCACGCACATAGGAACTGTATCATAGAATTTGGTTGGAAAACAAAATTTTTAGCAAGTGCTAGTTTCAGGACACACACACACACACACACACACACACACACACACACACAGAGAGACAGAGAGAGAGAGAGAGAGAGTGAATATGCCCACCTTCACTTCCTCCCAGATTCCTCTGAGCATCTCATCTGAGGAGAGGCAATGAAGGTAGAAATCTGGGGTTGGCACTCTAGGGCATTTGCCAAAGGCATTAGCCTTTCAGATGGCCCACTTCTCAACTAGCCTTACGTCAATGTTAGGAACCGTGGCCCTCCCTACATTATATATCAGGGCAGACATGTGCCAGCAGCAGCAGGGGAAAAAGAAAAGATAGAAAAAATAGTCTGGTAACCTGTAAGCAGAGCTGCTGATGCCCGGTATTTTAATTCCTGACACATTGCTGGGGCCTCGGATGCATTGTCCTAGGATTAAAATGGTGGCCACAAACAGAAGCGCTTGCCAACTAGACCAGAGGAGTTGCCCCAAGGTAGGGGGGAGAGCTCTGATGGCTTCTCTGCTGCTTTTGTCATCTGGGAGGGAAGGCTTCGCCACCAGCTTGCACCCCACCAAGCCTAGCACTAACTGTGCTGCAAATTATCATTCCTCTGTACCTTCTTTGTCAATGCTAGCAACAGTTGATGGGGCTCTAAGAATTAAATGTGTGTTTCCGGCCTCCACAGAGGAAAGGGACCTCAATCTGAGATCATAAAATGAGCCCCTCCCTACTTGGACTATGGGGCATTCCTAGCCCTGATGTCAACTCTAGTGAGATCCAAGGTCTTTATATGAACTTCAGGTGTTTATTTATAATACGTATTCCTAAAATTGCTAGCTGCTGTACTCGTACTATACGTAATGCAACCCATGCTTGAAAGCTTATAATCTAGTTTCTTTTTCTACCAGTAGCAATAATTTTGGTCAGAAAAACAATGGCACCTTCATTATATTCTCATACAGCTCCAGCCAAGTCTAGAAATAAAGGGCAGGTTTATGAAAAAAAACAAACCACAATTAATTGAAGGCTCCATCCGTGTACAGCGATGGGGGGGAGGAATCTAAGTAGCAGCTGTTCTATCTATAGCTGTGCCATGTGCTTCTTTAGAACTGGTTAAACATAACATGTACTGTATGTTGCATTGTTCACATACTGCATCTTGTTCTTCTTGAGGGCAATGAATCATTTCAGTCACACCTCGGTATTTGAAAGTCCCTGATTGCCATGGAACAGGACTCCCTCAAACAAGATGGAACAGCATGCATACCTGTTAGCCTTGCAGCAAAACCAGTAATGTCTGACTGAAAGGGAGATACAGTATTATGGTTGAAATGAGCTTTATAGGTTTAACCAATTAGTACTGTATTTCTTCAATCAGTGGTGTCCGCCACCAAGCTATGTAGGACTTGGACCTCCCATCTTTTTTTTACTACAGTACCCAGATTCTGCCAGGCAACATGGCCATGCTATCTGGGGATTCTATGACTTGTTCCCCCACCCCACCCTAAAGGATCCTTTTCTACATCTGTAAAGGTCACACCAGAATTATGAATTCACAGATACGTCAGCTAGTCTTTACTGGATTACTCCAGCCTCAAGTGATGATGTGGATATGTGGGACAGCTATTAATAAGCACAGTATCTCATGACATCATCTCAAATGTAGTATTTTTCAGCAGTGGCAGTTTTTCTTTCAAACTGTTTCCAGGGGAAGTAAGTAGGCATGTTAAATCTGTGGCACAAGAAAAGATGTAATTGCATCTGGTTTGTGGTGTATGAAAAGCTATGTCAAATAAAACCTGCTAGTTTTCAAGGTGCCACAAGACTCTTTGTTGTTTGTACCTGTGCGGCTGTCTTGATTTATGTCTATTGTTCGGAAATTTGTGCATGCACATGTGAATCTGCATTTGGACTCCTACCTGAATTGCATTTACTTTACAAGTGCAAAGGAAGAAATGGAAGTGCAAGATTGCTGGCCGTGGGGTGGGGCCCAACTCTGTGCACAACCCGTGGACATTTGCTAGCTTCCTCCATTAACAGCAAGAGGTTGTTTCTGGTCTTTCCCTCTTCTGTTTCCTTGCTAACCATGTCAGTACCTCTGCTAACCTGTGAACTGTGGATAACTTCTGTTAAATGCATTGCCTGTACACTAGTTAAATCTTAGGGGATGACCACATGGGCATTTGTCCCACTGTTTGATCTGCTGTGGGGATGGACTGGTTCGCTCCTTTGGCCAGTGACTGGACGATGTAAGTGTGAGCATGAACCAGCCTGTCCCCAGAACGTTCCTATCTGCATCATTCTGGGCCCCTGTCAGGGCTATTCTTTTTTAAATGGACATTGTGTCATTCCATTTTAGTTTATTTCCAGCATGTGTGACTGCTGGGATTGAGCCAAAGCAGAGCTTGTTGCTTTAAAATTCCTTTCTGCTTTCAATTTCCCAATATCATTAAATGACTTAAGAAGGCAGCTTAGCTACTTCATGATATTGGGAAATTGAATTTTTTTCCTGTTCAGCCTAATGAAGACAAAGCTAGCTTTTTTGTGAGATGTTAGTGGTGTGATAAAGCAAAGCGTGCTGCTTATATACCGCCCCATCGCGCTTCAAGCACTCTTTGGGCGGTTTACAATTTAATTATGCAGGCTACACATTGCCACCCCCAGCGAGCTGGGTACTCATTTTACTGACCTCGGAAGGATAGAAGGCTGAGTCAACCTTGAGCCGGCTACCTGGGATTTGAACCCCAGGTCGTGAGCACAGTTTTAGCTGCAGTACAACGATTTAACCACTGCTCATTTAAAAAAGAGCAGTCATGTGGTTTTGTCCACCATTCAAAAGCAAGGATGGATAACATCTTTATTATACCACTGAAATCTCACAAACAAACTAGCTTTCTACTCTTGCAGGACTCTTCATCAGGCTGAGCATTATGGAGCTTACAAAAAACATAGAAGTTCCAAAAATGATGGCAAGATGTTGAGACTAGATTCTCATGCTGCTTATATATCGCCCTATGACACTTAAAGCATTCTCTGGGCAGTTTACAAGTTCATTATGCAGGCTACACATTGTTCCCCCCCCCAAAAAAAAACAAGCTGGGTACTCATTTTATATTTGTATTTATACTTTCCTTGCACTAGGTCTCTAGGAGGCTCATACTAAACTTTAAAAGGCACTAAATTAGAGGAACATTGTGAAGTGCAATAGTATGTACAGATTTCTGTCCAATCTTCAGATGTACTCTAATGGACATTCTTCTTGAATACCTGGGACACACAGTTGATTTCAGTGGAAATGATTCCAAATGGGAAGAATGTCTGTTTTAATGAAATTATTATTTATATTGCATTTTCTGTCTTGTTCTTTTTTTTTAATACTATGGAAATGTCTTAAGAACTCCTTTCAATTACTGGAAATGATACATAAATTTAAAGAACTAAAGAATTTATATTACCATGTGTTTATATGGAAAAGGGGCAAAGTGTTTGGCTGCAGTCCAGAGTACTGCCTCTTTAGGGCTCTGTGTCACTATAAATCAGAATTGACTTGACAGCACATTATTATTATTATTATTCAAAAAGGAAGCAGAGTCTTTTAAAAGTATGCATAGTCAAGTTTAAGGAATGTGGAAGGGCTCAAACAAGAATAAGATCCAACAGAACAAGTTAAAGCATCTGCTCTCTGTCCTAATTGTACAGCTATGGAAGTCTGATAATGTACAGTAATTGTATCTGGATCCGATCGCCTTCACTTTAAAACAGTTCAGCAGTTACCAACAGGCACACCAGTCATACTTCCCCTGCGCTGGCTCCATGCACTGTCCCGGATCTTGGAAGACCTGTTCTTTTTTTTTAATACTATGGAAATGTCTTAAGAACTCCTTTCAATTACTGGAAATGATACATAAATTTAAAGAACTAAAGAATTTATATTACCATGTGTTTATATGGAAAAGGGGCAAAGTGCTGGTTGTGGAATTCAGGAAGTTGTGGTCCAAAAAAGTAACTTTTCTACCCTTTGGCTAACAAACAGGGTTTCATCACTTAAAG